CTATCGTCAAACTTAAACCAGTCCGTTTCTTCTTTGACCAAGGAGTATTGAACTATAATTAAGTCACGATCAAATGTAGCAGAAATCAATACAGGTACCAAGCTAACCAGAATAAACCTTGAATAACACCAGAATTAAATAGCTGCTAGCTTTGGATCCAGAGCGAAAGGCACGTATCACGTATGTCAAAAATAAAATAAAATCATCAGTATGAAACTAACTTCTACCCCTTGTACAATATATTGTCTATATATAATAGTATAATGGCAGATTTGTAACAAGTGGCGATAAAAGAAATATTTAAAATGAAATTAAGAATCATTCACTGTCTACTTGCATATGGAAGACCTGAAAAATTAGCAGTCGCCCATCACGTTTTGCAACAAAACCATGCCATAGACTTCAGTTCATTAAGATTAGTTAGACAAGTTAACAACAACAGGCAACTAGATGCCTATGAGAGTGTAGAAATGAGTAAACACAATAATACAATAGAGCTCCATGGATATTCACAAAGCATCAAAAGTTGCTGAGGTGTATACAGTTTTCTGGTTTGGAACAGTGTTTCAACCTTTTAAGAACCAGCCTCTGCAGTTCCAGCGACATGATTGTGCCACGACATATTGGTGTCTATTTTAACAATCTTATCGAAGCAGAAAGCGGTGTCGTCTGTCCTGAATTTATTATTTTCGGTTCGGAGACATTTATCGTTCTGGAGATTGAATTCGTGACATTGAATTGAACCTGGTTACTTTCAAATCAATTCGAAATCACCTCTAGATCCACATTAAGATAAGTAACCTCCAGCTGCCGATGAAGATGTGCATCCGCAGCAGATGTCCTAAAATCCAAATGGAATGACGAGACAAGTGTGCTGTCGGCAGCAAAGCAATATATTGATTCGGTTTGATTTTTTTCAATAAGTCATTGATATACAATATGGATCTCTGGGAATACCAGTGTTGATGATGAAAGTATTCGAGAGATATCCATCAACGGCCACTTGCAGAAAGCTGAAAAGTCATACACAGAAATGATTCGACAAGCCATAGCATCGAAGTTTGGCCAACAAATTCTCATGCCACACACGGTCCAAGGTCTTAGAAGTATCAAGTGCAACAGATCTTGACTATCCATGTTTCTCGATTGCGTTATTCCAAATATTCGTGATATATGACAGAAGGTCGCTTATTGACCTTAGTTTCCGAAAGCCATATTGTTGATCGCTCAAATGTCAAAGCCATCTAAATTTTTGAGAATATGATGGTTTACAGCTTTCTCCATGATTTTTTATATCACTGATATCAAAGCGACTGATCTATAGCTACTTGAAAGTTTTGTCTTGCCCTTGTTGAAAATAGGCTGAACTCAAGCAATCTTCCAACAAGAAGAAAGAGCGCCTTTCTTGTAAGACAGGTTTAAAAGTCTGCAAAATACTGGTGCGAGTTCATTGGCACACATTGACGATAACGGGCACTTATCAGGATCAGACGCCTTGTTGATATTGAGCTGTTCCAGAATTCGCCTGACTAGACCTTGTCGAAAAGTAATTTCCGGCATTGTGAAGTCTAGTGTGGGAATAGTGGGTGCTGCCTCTGTGGTGTGGGACGCAAATTGTTCAGCTAGTAGACTTGTTTTTTCTATGGCTGTTGTTGCAATTGAACCATCTGCTTGCGTTAGTGGTGGAACTGTGGATTTTGTAAAGTTTTGAATAACAGCTTCAGTTACCGACCAGAAGGAACTAGACCCGTTGGGATTGGCAAGTAGTTTATCCCTAATTTTCTGATGGTGAAGTTATTTGCTTTCATTTATTGTATTGTATCGTATTGACTTCCAATCATTGTAGCTCAAATATGCTCAGCATATGAAATTTCTCAACTCCAGCAGTAACTAGATCGACACGAACATCCACATAACCTGAATCCGTTCGTAATATTATACGACATTCTGAAACCTCGTGCATTCGATATGAACATTCCACACGAAAAACTTGTTACCGACTCATATAAAACTGTTTGATGCTCTTTTGATGGAACCCGTTGAGTATTGAATAAAACAACGCTCTCGGAAGTTGAAAAATTTTTATTTCTCGGCTGCCCAGCGCGAGTAGTAAATTTTTTGTAGAGGTCATAAAAAAAATTATGTGATTCTCAGAGCTGCCGCCCTTATACGCACATCTCTGTGTATGCAATGAACTGTTTTATAAGGCGTTGAGGAACGATAAATCAGGCACGTCACACACCGATTTCTTCTGCTGTTTATAGCCACAGAACCGCTGCACTTTTTTATTGTCGATTTTTTTAGGGGCAGTTTTCCGACTTCTTTGGTGGTCGATTTCGGAGATCAATTCAAATCAAATCAAACTATACTTCATTGTCAGAAGATTTTGCATCCCACTGACAAAGATTTATACGAATAAAAATATAAACGTAACTAATGCTGTATAGATAGAAACTGGAAATTTACAAAAGTTCGAATGAAGCAAGTGAAAAAACAATAAAAATGAAAATAAAATAGCTATAATAGGTTCTATCAGCTAACAAATTTCTGACTGTTTTCTTGAATTGCACGCTGGTCATTTTGCAGACCTTGGATCTACTGGTAAGTGATTGAATAATTTTCTACCATTATAAAAAATGTAATCCTTGATTAATGTTGAGTTAGGTATGAGGAGATGAGTAGTTTGGAACAGTACCTCAGTTACCCAAGGACAGTTTGTTGTGCGATCTAGAAGCGTTTGGCTCGTGCGTGTATTTATCTCCGCGACGAAATTCAGAACCATCTCAAAGATTCAAAGGTTATTATTTTGCGTTCATAACTTTATAAATAGTAATAAATTCCGTTATATTTTTTATTACGTCAATATACTGGTTCATTGAGTCTACATCTAGGTGCAAATAGATTTTTTTTATAATTTATTTAAAATGTATCCCTATCAGAAAGGATAGTTGCCCTGATTTTTCTAGGTATAGGTGTCCTTAGGGGCATCTAAACTTCCATACACTGTCGTTTATGATTACAGAAGAACTATGCCATGAAATTATAAAAGAAAGGAAGGAGTGCGAGCTCGAGTGTGTTCGTGGACCAAAGAAAACCTACTGCAGTCAGCTTTCGATGAAATAGACAAGGAAACCATAGGGATAAACAAAATATTCCGACAATTTGGGATTCCATCGAGGGCATTGCGAAGACGATATGCTGCTAGAAATACAACAAAGTTGATCCTGAGTATGTATCAAAGATCATGTCCTACAGTCATTACAAACTTTCAATTAACTAATTGTTGAATATCACTGGAGTTCTATCCCAACACCAAACAGTTATTTTCAACATCTCGACACGTCAATCACCAAGTGATCATCTTCAAGGGAAAGACTGAACTACAGTTCAGTCTTTAGTTAACCAAGTGATCATCTTCAAGAGGAAGACCAAACTACAGTTCAGTCTTCCTCTTGAAGAAGATGATCACTTGGTGATCGAAACACGTGTCGAGGTGTTAAGAATAACGATTTGGTGTTGGTATAAAACTCCAATGATATTCATTACTACACCAAAGGTTTCAAACAATTTATCACAAGTAACTAATTGCTGTCTCTAGTTTCCAATACGTCCATTAAAGTTAGCATTTTTTTTTAGGAAAACATCCTATTTTGGATTTTGACAACGAAAAGAGGCTAGTTAAGCACATTCCCAAGTTTGATGATGCAGGATTTCCCCCAAATAGACAAGCCATACGCTTGTTACCTCATAAAATTGCTGAAAAGCTGGAGCTAAAACACAATTTCGACCCCGAAAACGAAATGGCTGGAGTTGCATGGTTCAGAAGTTTTATTGAACGAAATCTGGAGCTGTCTGTCGGACAAGTTGAAGGTTTATCCGTAGCTAGAGCTGAAGGTCTCAGTAGAGAAGACGTCAATAACTGATTTCGACATAAAACATAAAAAAGAATGATTGTGTGATGTGCATTTTGAAACTCAATGTGAATTTTCCACAACAAGAATTAGAAATATATATTTTTGTTGAATAAATTCTTGTGAAATTTGATTTGAAAAAATATTCGTTTGGAGGTGATTGACAATATTTCATGATGAATTTTATTAGTTCGGACTCCTATTGTCTGATATTATATAAAATGATTTGAAATTCCTGAAATATCTGAAAAAAAGAAATAAAAATTAAAGAACCTGGAAAAAATGAATAGCTGAAAAAACAATTATATTAAGCAAAAAAACATGTACTGAAATGATAGTGAAATAAAATACAAGTGAAAAAGGAACAAATTGAACAAAAAATAAAATTAAAAAATGAGATTCCAAGCCAAGTTACTTTACGACGTTTCGATTGTTAGTATCCACAATCGTCTACGGGCGATGACTGAACTGATTCCTCCGTGAGCTGACTATTTATAGGTCATTTGAGTACTTTCACTCTGCTTTCCTCTTTCCGCTTCACTGGTTTAGTGGGAGATGACCGTTTAGCGCCAATCGTTCCACGAAAAGCTAATTTTTGCAAAATCTCAATTTGATAGATTGGAAAATAATAATAATAATTCAACATAAAGGATTGAGCTAGCTACATTATGTAAATCATTCGTATAAAATTAATATTCTTCAAATTAGGTGGTTATTTCAAAAAACGGGGCTCCTTTCCCGGTTTTACCCTATATTCTACATAAAATTTCAATCTCACTCACATTATTTTACTTGAATTTAAAGAAGCGCTTGAAGAAAGACCCAATAGTTATTCAAAAACTGTTTGTGTAGGAAGTTTTGTGTAGGAAGCCTATTTGCTTCGAATACTATTCAGAATATCCAGTTGTCAAAACCAACACTGAACATATCAACAAAACTAGACCTACTGGATTTTGACCAGTTCAGCAGAATCTCCGTTCCAGAGAAAACGTTTCTGAAATTTCGCATCATTCACTTTTTCTCTTCATATACTATATTGATATAATTTTTCCACCATTTACTGTTCATTTCTGAAATAGCAATACAATATTAATGATTCATATGTTTATTTTTAAGAATAACAATATAAATTTATATGTACATCATTACCAGTATTCAAAACTCTATTGAAAATTGTACGTTTTCATTTTTAGATTTTTTTTCTGATCGGCCTCTTCTACGAAAATGTTTTCTGTCGATGACTCACTTAAATTTTTTGACACTCGAATGGCAGACTGCGTTATATCTAAAAAAACAGTCATGGCGAATATTCATAAACTTATTTTTCCATCAAAATCTTTTCCAAAGTTTTATAGAATCAGGACGAAATAAGCAAATTTAACTCGAGTAAACGTGATTGGCGTATGGGGAAAATATTATCTGCTTATTCCCAAGGCATACCTGAAATTTATTAGCGAAATGTTTTTGTTATAGTGTAACAACCAATAGCATATTCTGTCAAGTGGAGAATTTGGTTGGTTGAAACTACAAAATACATTGAAACCTGACATATTGAATAATACTGGAGTTTTTTCCCCAACACCAAATCGTTATTTTTAACACTTCGACACGTGTTTCGATCACCAAGTGATCATCATCAAAGAGGTGTAGTAATATTCATTACTACACCAAAGGTTCCAAACAGTGCATCATAAGTACCTGACATATTAACAGATATCGACGATCAAAAAAATTAGATTGATCGTTCTGCAATAGCACGAATGTGATAAATTTAGTTTTTTCATTCATTCAGACTTAGAAGGTTGTGATCAAGCCATGTTTGGATATCTTTCAGTCCCTTTTATGATTTTTCAAATGCCTCCTTCCAATTACTACCTGTGAATATGAGAGCTGTATCGTCCGCATATGATATGAGATGACCCCCAAAATTGTTGATGAAACAGATACTATATTGATGTAAATAAGAAATAGTATGGGACCTAAAACTGTACCCTGTGGTACTCCTGGTTTAACTTTCGTTGCTTCACTCAGGCTACTATCAACTTTGACCTATTGTGTCCTATGTGATGGATAGTCTTCCAAGATATTGTATGTTGGGCCACGTATACCATACCCATGTAAATTTTTCAATAGCATGTCGTGATCAACGGTGTCGAATGCCTTAGCTAGGTCTAGAAACATAGCTAAACATTTTTCTGATCCATCCAATGCTCCAATTATTTTTTGTACACAATCTAGCACTGCTTTTTCGGTATTGGACTTGCTAATGAAACCGAACTGCCTGTCTGTTAGTATTTTTTTTTACATTGAGGTAATTAACGAGTCTACTTTTTAAGGATTGTTCAAATACTTTAGCAAAATCATTGATAACCGATATTGGTCTATAGTTTCCAATGTCATCACGCTTACCTGTTTTATATTTTGAGGGGTAACGATTGACTCTTTGAAGTGGTGTGATACTTTACCATTTTTATAGATCGAATTCATCATGTGAGTTGATAGAGATATAACGAATAAATGGATATTCTTTATGAGTTCCGAGGAAATGCCATCAGGACCAGATGGCAGAACAGTTAGTTTTTAGCTTGAATATAATTTCAATCAGCTCATTTTGTTTGTTTGAAGGTGGTTGACAATGTTTCGTGGTGTATTTTATCATTTCGATAGTTAGTATCCACAATCGTCTTCGGGTGATAACTGGACTTATTCCTTCGAGATCTGACTATTTATAGGTCATTCATTTCACCTTTCACCTATCCCCTCTTTCCTATTTCCGCTTCATTGGTTTTAGCGGGAGATGACCGTTTGGCGGGAGTTGGTCGTTTTTCGCTTGATAAGAGGTTTCCATATGTTACGTATCTCTACGCTAGCTTGACTAAATGCGATGTTGGACAACATACATGCGGCTTCCTTGAATTTCCTCCTAAGCCAGTGTTCCTCTTTGTGGATGATTTCAGCTTGAGCCCATTTGATATTATGTTGATGAGTCCAAACATGCTCTTCTATTCCGGATTTGCTGGTGACGTAACTTGGTTTGAAATCTTTAAATTTTTATTTCCATTTTTCATTTTTGTTAATGGGTAATATTCTTTAATTTTCAGCTTTTATTAATATTTCAATTTTTTATTTTCTGGTTGTAGCTTGGAAGTCCGAACTGTAGGAAACTCATTTTGTGTTACTGGATTTAGAAACATGAATTCTTGTTGCATGGTGTTTTTGAGGAAAGGATCAGGTGAGTTTTCAGTTTTTTTAATGTTTTTTACCATTTCAGTTCCAATATTAGTGAAGCAAGTGCTAAAATCATTAGGATTATTTATTTTATCAGGGATTGGTTTTCCGTTTTGGTTTTTGAACGTTATATTACCGACTTTTGTTTTTATTGAAGTGTTTCTTCCAGTTATTTCATTTATAAGTTCCCACGTTTTTTACAATTTCCATTCATTGTACTTAATCTGTTTTTGTAATATTGATTTTTTGCCAGCTTTATAATATTATTTAATCGATTTCTATGTGATTTATATTTATTTTCCCTTCCTAGGGTATATCTAACTAACAATTTCTTTTTCAGGTTTCCGTTGAAACTAAGACCTATTTTGAGGCAAAAAAATAAATCTTTCTACAAAAGTGGTATTGAATTGAATTTTACGTTGTTGAATAAAGCCAATTTTGAACAAAAAAACGCGTTTTTTTTGCTTAGGCCCAGGACTTTCCAGCCCATGTGAATGATTTTCACAGAATTCATCATGAAATAAAACAAAAATGCTCGATTTTCGAAATGCGGCTCCTCACACACAATTCAGTTTGGATCAACAAATCTTACCTTTGATACAAGCACCACAGAACACCAGAGATATAACGCAAAAGTATGTCGACACGAATAATATCCAATTCTTCAATGTAAAAATTTCGTCAAGCACTTCAAGCAACATTTTGACATTCTACGAATTTCCAAGTTTTCCCAGCGACAGATTCCTTCCCGAGGGCTTCTATTATAGCTCGTGAACATGAAATGAATCAGCTCATTTGGTTAAAATGATTCGTATCACCCGAAGTCACATTACTTCGAGTAGAGGAAAACTGTTACATAACCTTCATAATTGCATTAGAGTTTGATGTGGCACTTTGTGTGACAGCAATGACGTTTTAATAGTTTTCAGTGAATATGTGAGGAATTTATTGTCAATTTTCTTGAGGCACGTAAGTTTCACGACACTGCAATTTGGCTTTCAATAACTGCAGCCTGAAATGAAACATTCCAGATTCTAGTGGAAAGAGGTTGTGAGCAGAATACTTGAGGACACATAAACATTTTATATACCGATACAAAGAAGGTATTTGGAGCCGCATCCACTACACACAACAATGTAAGTAAGAGAGACTTTTCCAGAAATTCCTCCGAAATAAAGTGACCGAACCGGATTTGAGAGTTTTCAGCTTCCTTCGTTGTCTACAATTTTTTTATTTCCCATTCGAAAATATTGTTCCAAGTACTGAAACATCCACAGAGACTGAAAATACTCCAAAAGCAGTAATGGTTAAGTCAGTCAGTCGTCAGTCGTCGTATAATAATATGACATCTTGTATAATACAACAGTAAGGGTAAACGAGGTAATGGGAGTCTCTTAAGCAAGATATAGAAAAAAACACACAATTTTTACTTCATCTTTATTTTGATCAACTTTTAAAGTATTTCAAACATTACACTATCAGTCTCAGACAGTTCAGTACCTTTGGAATCGTATATTAATTAACATTAAACTTAAAAAAACATCTTTGACCACCATTGTTCATATCTGGAGGTAATTATAGTCACTATGAGAATAATGAGAGTCAGCCCAGGTTAACAATTGTCACATACGTAACCTTTTGGCGAGACCCATCCTGTGCAACTAGCGGGTGCCCATAAGCCACAAGAAGTGCATCTGTACCGTAACTACTTGTTGCGACCAAATTCATCACAAACCAAACATTTATTTAAATCGTCTTCAACATTGTCGCATAGTGTTTAGATCTTGCAATACGCGCCTTTTGGCCTTATTCGCAATATCTTTCTTAGGTTTTCAGGTATCATTTTGATAGGTAATAGAAGCAGATCTTCAATATGGAAATTCAATATTCCAGGAGCTAACGTTGCCGATGAAGTCGATGGTATTGGGTCAACTGCTATGAATGATATTGATGGCATATGATGTATTTCTGCANACACTTGCAGAGCTCGGCAAATGTAATAATGCATGTATGAAAAGTTACGGAGCATTGGTATAATTTTCGCAAAATGAAGGCAAAATTTAGAGTTGTCGTCAAAGTTTACCACTTTCTCTTCGGTACTACGTATACAACGCGATACTTACTGATATAGCCGAGTTTTATTCAATTATAATACTTGCCTATGAAAATATCTTTCAACTGTGCAAGACCCCAGTCTTTTAATACAGTAGTAGATACAAAATAATCGGGAAGAAATTGCACTTCCTCCTCAAAATCGCAACACACCAACATCACTTTCCAACACATACTGGCGCGTACACGATGCTTACAACGGAATTCTCTGCTCCCCTCTCACTTAAGAGTGTCATAGAAAGACCTGAGCACCACAGGTTTTTTCAAACTGAAATGATTGAAATATTTCTTTAAAAGAAATCATGTTCATTCTATACAAAATTCCTGTTATTTTCAGTCGATCATAATATAGTTTTGTATGTAGATTCACAAAACTCTTGTTATAGACGGATTGAGTTATTTGAAGGGACACAGTATTAAATTCAAACAAACACTATGTGTTCAGATCAAGTAGTTGATTTTGAGATGATATTATATTTTTTTGATTCAAAATAGTTCATTTTCGCAATGATATAATCAAACGAATGATGTCGTTGAAAGGCCAAGAAATTTGATTTCTTTATTGAAAAAAGTATGATTTTCTGGTGGAACATGGCGATATTGGCATAAAGTAATAGTTTTTCCAATAGAGATAAAAATTTCAAAGCAACCTATGATCTTCTTTTTAAGAAATACTTTTTACTGTGTATCGATGCACAGTAGATGATCCCAACGGTTAAGTTGAGTCGTTCGTCCGACGGACTGAACTTCGTTGATACCGTTTGGTTTTCATCGGGTATCTGAGCCTGAGCAACAAAGGCAATCAATGGTTATGTGCCTAGAATTGTCTTGTTGATGCTGGGAGATTTTCTGACATTAAACAAAGACTTTCGTTCGTCAGAATTTAGAAATATTGAATCTTCTAACAAATGTGGCATTCAGGAATATTTCATACGTTTATGGCAGTATATCACATTTGAAGTCACTCTATTTCTCATCAGTTCCTTTTTGATTTTGCTTGAAAAAATTTCCAACAACTCGAATTGACATATCATTGAAAAGAAACTCTGTCTCAGAAATATACCGGTGTCTTCACTGAAGAGAGAGATACGTACTTCCACAAAATCTCAGGCCTGAAATAAAACCGTCAAAAAGATAAATACAGCCCATAGCTCATCACAATCTCAAAAGGATAATTCCCTTTTAGCATATTCAGTTCGGATGAAGTATACCGAAGCATCTTTGTTCCACAACTCTTGAGCTTCTAGAGCAAAAAACCAACTTCGATAATAAATCATTCGCTTTATCTCTGTTTCAAAATCCCATTTAATATATGAACGTTAAGGGTCTATGTTGTCGAAGTGAACGTGGAGAATTTACATTTAATTAAGGCAGTATATCCACTCCGAAACGTTGGAGGAGCATCCTTATTACTCGTGTATTTTATTACCCAACTATATGCCTCAATTATGGATCGGTTCAAGATGGAAATTGTATAGAGAAACCACCGAGTGCCTTTGAGTATCCAAAAGATATATTTTGTCTCGATAAAATGAAATAAACAAGCACTTCGTGTGAGTTTAGGAGCTTTAAAGTGATTTTGAAGGGTGAATACGATATGGTGGTCCCAAAAGTACCCAGCCCAACAAAGAAAACACGAAAATCCTGGGAAAAATGTATTCATTTTTCAACCTGATCTTCTTGCAGATCTAAACACTTTTCCTATCGACGTTCAATAAGTTCGATACCGTTTTTTAATAAGAACTGTCTTGCTTCTCAGAGTATCCATTAACTCCCGACATCACTTGGAAAATCTTTAACCACTGAGCCATTTTTTTCAGTTTGGGAACAGAAAATAATCCGAGGGAATCAAATCTGGCGAACAGGGTGCATGAGGTAGCAATTCAAACTTCAATTCGTCAATTTTTGTCTTTGCGATAATTGATTAGTGATCTGGGACATTGTCTTGATAAAACCACACTTTTTTCTCACTAACTGCGTTCGTTTCTGCTCGATTTCTTCACTAAAATCTTGCAAAGAGTTCGGATAATACTCGCCGTTGATAGTTTTACATTTTTTAGGATAGTCAATGAAAATTATCCCACGGCAATCCCAAAAAACCGATTCCATGATCTCGCCTGTAGATGAAACGGTCTTCGCCTTCTTTGGAGCAGGTTCTCCTTTTTGAGACCACTGTTTTGATTTTTCTTTTATCTCTGGTGTAAAGTGATGGATCCATGTTTCATCCATGGTTATGAAACGACGCAAGAATTCTGCTTTGTTGGTGTGAAACTTCGCTAAATACTCAATTGAACCATCTACTAAGTCAAAGTCAAAATATGCTTTATTGTCTGANATCTAGTGTATCATTTGCTTCTGCCGAGTGTTTTTATCATGAATATCGCTATTGAGAATGAAGTCACTTCTGTTAGTGAAAACATAAACTGACAACCCATAAATATATAATTGAACCAGAATTAAACTTTCGTGTGTAACGAAAATGTTTCTGCATGAATACTGTCGAGGAACATTGAACAAACAGCGTAGGATAGCTTTTTGTTGGATAACTAAATTTTTACTCTTTGCGGAGTTGCCCCACCACCAGAGTATAACTATATAACCACAATAGGTTATATAGCTCAATTTTGAAACTAGTTGATCGCAATGCTCATTCCAAGAAAGACTCTCATCCATTTGAATGCCTAGGAATTTAACAGCATCATGGGTGTTTCTCAAAATAGAGTCATTAACAGTCACCTGAATATCATCGGTTTTATTTTGATAGTTGTGATAGTTGTCAACTGAGTTTTTTTCACATTGAAAAACAGATCGTGACTATTGAAATAGTTTGAAACTCCATCCAAGGTATATTCACATTTTCGTGTTGATTCAGTCGTCGCTTTTGCAGATCACCAAACTGATATCATCTGCATAAGCAGTTACTGCAGAATATGGTATTTTCCTATCTATATTATTGATATATAATAGGAAGAAGAGTGGCCCAAGTATAGATCCCTGGGGTACTCCCAACTGGACCGACCTCATTTCTAGTGTTGAAGTCATGTTTATTCACTGTGTTCCAACATAGTTTATTCTACTGAAGAAAGAATATAAATTTTTGCAAACTAGTGTCGAAATAATGCATGTGTTGAAGCTGCTGCAAGAATTTATAATTCAAATCATAAAGACCACAACGTAAGCCATCAATACGTTAAACAGAAGACCTGCGACAGGGAACTGTTCGCGAATGCCGATATCTGACTCCGGACATATTCAATAA